CCCGGCTCAAAAAGGTTGCCTACCCCTGCCTTAGACAAAAGGGATTAGCCCTCTGTCTCTCCAGCCCTTTGTCAGGATATGTACTTCCAGTCCTATACCTGCCATAATCCCTTTACCCTCTCCAGACACAATAGGATATGCTGGGGATTTCCAATGGTTTCATCAAGGTGAGAGCCCTGCAACCTCTTCCTTGCTAGCTCCTACCTGCAGGAATTCAAGCCTGCCATGGATCAAGGGCATCCACAGCGGGATCATTCTTGGGTCACCCAAGCCAAACTTTATTCATTTTATATTAAATGAGAAGGGGTGAATGGGGGCTGATCTTGGGCTTACACCATAGTCCTTTGGGATTTTCAAACTTCAGTGATTCCCAAACTTTGATCCTCCAGATGTTTTGGACTTTAGCTCCCAAATTTCTCACTATTGGCCAAGCTGGCTGGGACGTCTGGGGGGACCAATGTTTGGGAACCACTGGGCTAATTGTTCCATAATTTATTTATCAGTATTCTGGACACCTTTGACTTCACAGCAAGGCCTTTCTAAAACACCTGGGACACTGTTGACACATTTGGGTTGTTCAGCTCTGTCACTGTTAACCAGAAGATTTGACATGTATGACTGAGTTAAACTGCACACAATTTTTCAAACTAGTTTTATTGGGAGTATAACTGTGAATTATGTACATCTTATTTGTCTGCTGTGCATAGGACTTTTTTGTGTGAACCTTTGATTTTCCTGACGCCTTGTTCATACATGCATGTGTATTATTTGTGTGCCAACAGTCGGATATGAACTGTCTATATATTCAAATGTGGCATTTGACATAGAGTGAGCAGTACACTATCAGAAGCTACTGTTCAGCAAAGGGAGGGGAAAGACGTGTATGGGTACTGCTGCCAAATTTCTATATAATTTTTCACAGGACAGAGTCCACAATTCAGCATGCTGCTTTTAAAATCTGCCGTTGTGTGCCTTCAAGTCAGTTCTGATTCACAGCAACCCTAGGGCAACTCTTGTCATGGGAGTTTCTTGCAAGGCTTTTTCAGAGGGGTGTTGCCTTTGCCTTCCTCTGAAGGGGCTGAGAGAGTGTGACTTGGCTAAGGTCACCCACTGGATTTCCATGGTCCAGGAGGGATCTGAACCCTGGTCCACACATACACTCAAGCCACTACACCAGGCTGGCTCTTTGAAAATCTACTGTCACTGAGATTGCTAGATTGTGACAGACCGGAGTGTTAAAATAAGCTTGTGGCACTCCATTGAAATGTGAGGATGCTTGATGGTATCTAATGGGTGTCAGGAAACAAACTGGGTCTTAGAGTAACCTAGGAAGGCCATCGCTCATTGGAAGCACCTAAGCCTGGAGTAGTGGTTTGAGTGGACTACGATTCTAGAGACCAGGGTTGAATTCCCAGTTCAGCCAAGGAAACCCACAGGGTGACCTTGGACAAGTCACACTCTCTCAGCCTCCTCAGGGGAAGGCTATGGCAAAGCTTCTCTGAACAAATCTTGCCAAGAAAACCCCAGGATAGGTTCATCTTAAGAGTTGTCAGAAACGACATGAAGGCACACAGCACACAGACACAGGGTTGTCTTAGTGCTACCATCAGTCGGAAAGGACTAGAAGGCACGCAGCAAGAAGCAAGCGTTTTCCCTCTCACAGAAGAGGATGCTGGGCAGGCTGTCCTCACGTAAAGGAGTCAAGGGTCAGCTCCCAGAGGCAAACGAGGCAAGGCCTGCGATGCTTGCTGTACGTGGGCAGGAGTCGTGAATACCATGCAACGTGGGGGACGGGGGCCAAAGCCAAGCCTTGTAGACTCTCGTTGCAGCGGGCGCCCTGGGCTGCATCCACACTGCAGAAATAACCCACTTTGACACCACTTTTGAAAGCCGTGAGTCCATCCTATTGAATTCTGGGAATGGTAACTCTGGTGCCACAACAAACTATAATTGCTAGAATTCCACAGCATGGAGCCGCGGCCCCTAAAGCGGTGCCAAACTGGGTTATTTCTGCAGTTCATATGCAGCCCTAGGCGAGGAGAGGCCTTCCCAACCGCCATTCTCCTCAGGAGCAGAAAAGCCGCCCGGCTTCATCTTCCAGGAGAGCTCCCATTGGCTGGGGCACTCGCGCGCGCACCCGGCCACATAACCAGCCATAGCTCCGCCCCTTTCCTTC